CAGAACCACGGTCCCTTCCTGGACTTGTAACCAGTGCACTCTCTCCACTCCAGGGTGTTTCTGCTTTACTAGTACTTGCTCTGGAGACTGTCATGGCACAGAATACAGCCGAAGTGAGGCACGGCATACATTTCAGCAGTAAAGATGCCTGGCATAGGGATGGCAGAGAGTAAGGGCTGTGCCGAGTGGCAGTACGCAACCAGATGCTCTCCCAAGACAGTAAGTACACGAAACTACCTAGAACTTGGGAAACGGGCGTTCCCCAGAGGAAGTCATCTCAGTCATCATCACCCCCGAGCACGGTTCCCCAGCAGCAAGCACTGGGCGTACTCTCAGGACAACGTTCATCTCACAGCGGAAGAACGTGTCTCCTTCCTGCTGGCGGGCCGCAGCAGCGCCGTCCTGCTCTGGGCGCCGGACACGCCTCGAAGGTCCTCTTTCCGTCTCATTAGCTCATCCAGTGGGTTGTCAGAAACGAATGGAAATAAAAATCTGTGATGTGTGTGATGGATTTTAATTCCACTACCGGACCTTATAGAAATGGATTTAATACCAATGAGGGGCCGATGCTGGGGTGACCGGGAAAAGGAAGTGGAGGGAGAGCCAGGAAGGCCGCAGGGTGTTAGTGACTGCGCCTTGGCTGCGTCAGCCCTTCACAGGGTGTGTGGTCTGATCCCAACACGGGTTATAAGTGGTGCAAGAGGCAGGCCCTGGGCTTCCCTGGAACTCCAGCCTCATCCAGTGCCTGACACACAGAGATGGGTAGTAAAGAAGTGCTTGTGGATGGGGTAGTGTGGGCGAGCAGGGAACACCTGCTCAGAGGAAGAGCTGGAAATAAGACAGGTGGGTCCAAGCGGTCAGCTGGCACAGAGCTGCAAGGGCAGCAGCTTGTCTGGGAACAAAACTCCGTAGGGGGCTGAGGCCGACAGGGCCTGTGAAGGCCGGCAGGAAAGAAGTGGACGATCAAACCGGGTAGTGTGTAGCCCAGTGGTTCTCAACCTTCCTAATGCCGCGACCCTTTAATACAGTTCCTCATGTTGTGGTGACCCCCAATTTCATTGTTACAAATTGAACATAATTAGAGCATAGTGATTAATCACAAAAACAATATGTAATTATATATGTGTTTTCTGATGGTCTTAGGCGACCCCTGTGAAAGGGTCGTTCGACCCCCAAAGGAATCGAGACCTACAGGTTGAGAACCGCTGGTGTAGCCACTTCCAGTAGAAGCACGAATTGAACACGGACAGCGATGCCATCTGCAGCTCTGGGACGAAACCTCCAGGGACCAGATGAAGGGTCAGACCAGGGGTGAGGAATGTCTTTAATGAGGAATCACTGATCATTAAAATAATTCAACTGAGGGTGATGTTTACAGTCACCTAATTTTAAGTTTGACGGGTGAATGAATTATGGGGGGTGGGAGGGTAGCTAGGGAGTTTGGAAAAAAATACAAAACACGTTACTCTTTTAATGAGGGAAATAAGAAACAGCATTAATGAATAGAATTAATAAACATGTATTTCAAACACACAGAAACCAAAATTGAGACACATGGAGACACGCAGAGGGGACACCTGTCAGGTAGCCACCCTGCGGGCTCCGATGAGCCACACTCCCCTCTGGTGAGCCCCGTCCTGGGTCTGCCTGAAACAATGGTGTCCCCTCTGGCACTCCGCTCCGTCTCCATTGTACCAGAACTGAAGTGCTCTCTAGTCGAGGGGAACTGCTCACACTTACAATTGTCTCTAGCAGCCTAAATGGCATTTAAAATAAGTGCTGTGAATTGATGAAATGACCAATTATGTTAACTACCCATGCCTGGTGTAATCCAAACCAAATCTTACCCCATTATCCTCAAAACTGCGAGGTGACTCAGCAGGCCCTCCTGCCAGCGATTCTGCAAGAACCAAAACACACAGGCCGCCCTCGAGTAGGACCTCGAGTACTTCAGTTAATTCTTGCAATTGGTTTTTGTGCTGGAAAATAAAATAACCGTACTACATTTCTCCTCAACAGCGTACACACCACACAACTGCCAGACAACACTGCCACCATTATGTCATTTTGTCCCACTCATTCCATTATCCCCTCTTCTCTGTATCCCATTATTCTCTTTAAACATCTCTCGGTGTGTGTGATATCATCCCAAAGTGCCCGAGTCCCTCGTTACCCGCACCTGCCCCGTGACAACCCCGTGGCTATGATGCTCTCGGGATCCTCTCGTGCCTGCGTACTCTTGCTGTGGCCTCTTCTTGCAATGCTTTTTTCCATTTCCAAGGCCCCCATCCATCCATTTTTTAAGACTTCACTCAAGTGTCAACTCTCCCAAGAAGTGACAGCCCCTCTGCTCCCATCCCCCAGACAAAAGCAAGTGGGTCCTCTACACAATGTGACTTGTCCGCTTCCTTAGCTGCTCTGCTGACCACTCCGCCCAGCAGGGCCTCCCCATGCAGCTGGTTCAGCCAGCTCTGCTCCAATGGGGTCCACAGCCAGGCTGGGCTTCTGCTGGCTGGTCCCTGGGCCTGTGTCACCCGATAGAACAGTGGTTGTCAACCTTCCTAATGCCGCGACCCTTTAATACAGTTCCTCATGTTGTGGTGACCCCCAATTTCATTGTTACAAATTGAACATAATTAAAGCATAGTGATTAATCACAAAAACAATATGTAATTATATGTGTGTTTTCCGATGGTCTTAGGCGACCCCTGTGGAAATGGTCGTTCGACCCCCAAAGGGGTTGCGACCCACAGGTTGAGAACCGCTGCGATAGAAGCTTCGTTTTCTATCCCACTTCCCAAAACTGGGCTCTTTAGGGAGCCCTGCTCACCTGCAACCCACTCCCTGTTAACAGAGTTCTTGCCTATAATCTGATGTCTAGAAAAACGTCCTCCTGCTTGTTCCAGGGAAAAAGAAGGTATGTGTGCATATTTTTAAAATGTAAAGTACAAAGATGAGAAAGCAAGCGTAAGTCAGGGCGTTTTCCTCTACCTGAGTCTAACCTGACCCTTCCGCTGGTAGGACAGGGCAGCCCCCTTCTTCACACATCGTTACCTTTTTGCAAAACTTTTGCTTGTGGGCTTCAGCGAGTTCTTGATGAGCCCGTACCACCCACCAAAGAAACATAGAAATATTAATTAGGATAGTTCGAAAAACCTTGTCACAATAAGTGTCTGGAGAACTCTATAGACAGAGCTAGCAAATGAAGAAGAAATAGCACAGAAAAAAAAAAGTTGACAAATCCCGGCCCACACTCCCAAAGTCTCTCCAAGATCCTTCTGATTTTCACATGTACAAAGAAATAAATGGGCTGCACCGAATTGGATGTGGCTTCAATGAACATCTGACGTACGTCATCATTTCATTCTCAATGCCTTGAGTAATTAGGATTGTTAACCCTATCAGGACGAGAAAAAAGGTCTCCCACCCACGAGACAGACTCTCAGCCAAACCACTCAACTTCAGAAACCTTATCAATGTTTATCCTCAGGCTTTTGCCTGAAACAACCCCAAAATAAGGTGCTTAGAGCAAATCTTACCTAATGTGAAACTCAATGAATAAAAATCCTATAAGAAAATGCTCTAAGTAAATTAAACCCCTTTTCTGAAAATAATTCAAACACCAGTGCTATTCATTGCTATAGATCTAGAGGGAAAGGGAGGATACACAGCCCTTTGAAATTCCCTGGAAGAAAGCCAAAGGCTCATCAAGGTCGATTTCCATATATACCATCTAAAGGGGGAACAGAGGAGATTTTTTAAAAATTATGTATTAATTTCTGAAAGCGGAGGGAGTTCCCCTTTTTTCTTAATTAGGATGTCTATGGTGGTCATTAAAATTAGCATTACTCAAACCTGCCTGCCTAAATTTCACCCTGTACCAAGCAAAAATGCAAAGACATTCTTAAGTTCCCAATTTCACAGGCTATTAGAATGACAATATGCAATTGCATGGCCTATAAAACAACGACAAACATGTGACATCATTCAAAACTGTTTGAGCCACTCCAGAAACCTGAAGATAAACGTCACTTTATGTCACTTTTCTTAGCCACGTTCATATTCACCCACGTGGCCAGCCCTCAGTGTGTACATTTAAGGAAAAGAGGCTTAAACCAACCAAACAGGTCTAAACCAACCAAAATGCACTGGAATGCCTCACCTTAAGCCCAGTACAGTTCTAAACCTCTTGGTCCAACCAAATCCACCTGATTTGGGCCCGCTGTGCCACTCTGACACCTGGCCAGTCAACAGAGGCTGGTGGCCCGAGGAGCCAGCCAATTCCAGCTGATCTATAGAGCAGATATCCAAAACAGCAATCATCCAAAAGTACTTTCTAGAAGTATTTAGCACGCATCTTATTGCTATTTTAAACCATTTATTCTTCTTTAACTTTGGCTATTTCCAAAGAAATTTAATTGCAAAAGTCGAGATGAAAGTTTGAATGAGCACACTTGCATGCATGGCAACTTGGCACAGCAGCTGATCGTGGGCTGGTCAGCAGGAAGGCTGTCCCCCTGCAAATGATGCTTGCAGGGACAAGGGGTGTCTGAACTCTGAGCCTCAGAACTAACCACAGTCACCCATCCAGGTACATGTGATGTTAGGGGTCAGCCAGGAATACATGGCCCTCCATGGTGAACAAATTGCCAACAGACACCCAAAACATCCGGAGCACTGAAAATACGCAATGGGGTTGGATTTTACCAGCCTGGTTGATGCTATTGTCACATCCGAACTGCCATGTGATTCCAAGTTCACCAAAGCAAGCCAAGCACGTCTAGAATAGGACCAGTAACGATAGACCAAAAGGAGCAGTCCTGGTTTCAGACTAGCAATTCACAGCAACCAGAAGATGTGAGAAGGAAGAAATGACAGACCCGACCCACAGCAGTCACACTTCTCCAGTGCCCACTCCTCAATGGGACAGAACTCTGCTGGTTGGCACCAGAAGAGATGGGGGGGAAGGGGGAAGGGACCGGGTGCTTGTAGAGACCTACCTTGTAGAAGGGCTCCATTTCTCTTGAAGAAGGTACTGCCCGGCCAGATGGGTGGACCTGATGTGCTGAAACAGAAAAGAAAACAGCGTAAGGATGGGCTCATTTACACCCACTCACCTATACTCTGAGCAACCCATGCTCTGAACATGTCACTCAAAATGGCCTCAAAACGCTTTCCCAATTATGCATTACTAGAGGCCTGGTACACGAATTCATGCACGGGTGGGGTCCCTT